TACTATACAGTATTACTGTTGTTGTTGTTAACGGTAAATGCCGAAGTGAGTAGATTAAAGTCAATTAAACATGTCCTCTACACTTCAGTGCTCCTGGCCATCCACCAGATTAACCGGTTTGGGACCGGTCCAGTTTGGAACGTCACGCCGGTTAGCCGAAACGTGCAGAGTCGGTGCATATCAACACTCCCACTCACCGCTACTGCACGTCGTTCCTCTTCTTGATTCCACTTGCTTCGCGAAGGAACGCTAGCGACTTCGTTCCCAGTGCTTTCGTAAGCATGTCAGCTAACTGCTGCTTCGTGTCGATGTAGGCCACCTTGATTGTGGAACGTTCCACATTCTCTCGAATAAAGTGGTGACGGATATCCACGTGCTTGGTCCTCGCGTGATATCCAGCGTTGCTTGCAAGTGCAATAGCACCTTGATTGTCTTCCCAGACCTGCGTCGCTCCCACTTGCTCGTGACCCATATCCTTCAGCATGGCACGTTTCCACAGTACCTCTTGAGTACAAAGGCTTAGTGCCATGTACTCTGCTTCCGCTGAGCTAAGCGCAACCGTCCTCTGGTACTTGGATTTAAATACCACCGGGGCGTTCCCAATCATGACCATGACGCCAGACACTGAACGTCTGTCGTCAATGTTGCTTCCCCAGTCTGCGTCCGTAAACGCTTCTGCCTTGACAGCTTGCGTTCCAAATCCACTCGTTCCACTTTTGTAAGCGATACCATGATGGCGAGTGGACTTCAAATACTGCAGAACACGAATCGCTGCCTTCCAGTGTTGCGTTCCAGGATCCTCTAGGAAGCGTGCCAGCTGCGTGACAACGTAGGCAATGTCCGGCCGAGTACAGGTTGTGATGTACATGAGGCACCCGATTAAGGAACGATACGGTCGTGACCACATTTCAGCACGTTCCTTTTCCGTAGTCGGCGACATCATCTTGGACAATTTCAGGTTTGCTGCACAAGGGTACTCCACCATCTTGGCGTTCCGTTGATTGAATCGTTCCACAATGTCGTCAATGTACCGAGTTTGCTTGATCATCAACGTTCCACATTCTCTATCGTGGTCAATCTCCATTCCCAAAATGAATTTGGCCTCGCCAAGCTCCTTCATCTTGAATGCGCTCTTCAGGGCGTTCTTGACCTCGCGAATTTCGTCGCGCGTCTTGGCCGCAATGATCATGTCGTCTACATATAGACATACGTACACGAATGCGTTTTTGGAACGCTTGACGTAGACACACTGGTCGGCTCCGCAACATTTGAAACCATTCTGCAGGAACACGCGATGAATAGTCTTGTTCCATGCACTTGCAGCTTGCTTCAAGCCGTAGATGGCCTTTAGCAGGTTGCACTTCATGCCTTCAGCATTCTCGAGACCAAGTGGAACGTCCATGTAGACCAAATCCACCAAACAACTGTTTAGGAACGCTGTGTCGGCATCCAGTTGCTCCATAATGTAGCCGCACGTAACGCAAACAGCGAGTACAGCTCGAATCGAGTTCATATTCGCAACTGGGGAGTACGTCTCAAAGAAGTCTATTCCAAACTTCTGCTTGAACCCCTGCGCTACTAGGCGTGCCTTGTAACGGATAACCCGGCCGTTCTCGTCACGCTTCTTCGTGAACACCCAGCGACATCCAATGGAACGAGTTGTCGTTCCACGTGGAACGAGCGTCCATGTTCCGTTCCGGGAATGCGAATTCAGCTCTGACTGCATAGCACGACGCCACTCTCCTGCTTCGTTACTGACAATAGCTTCTGCGTACGTGTTAGGCGTATCTGGAACGCCACCAATGCTGGCCGCGTACGCCAACACTGCCTCTGCGAGCAAATTATCTTCGTCGATTCTGGTACGCTTAGGAGATGACGGTCCATCACTTCCACGTTCCACGTCTTCATCGTCACCATTCCCAAGTAGAAGTAATGGCTCACGAGGGCGCGTAGATCGTTCCGTTTCAGGATGGAAGACCATCCGGTCCTCATGGAACGATGGAGGCTGCGAATGGAACGTTGCTAAATCCAACCCATTTAACCTGGGTTCCTCCGGCGCGGGTAGCTGCTGTATTTCTGCGTTCCGTTCCAGTTCAAGGTCGTCCATCTCAATGTCTTGAGCAGGCTCCTCTGCTTCTTCCATCGGTTCATCCTGAGCAGGCGTACGTTCCACTCCCGATATTGGAACGATCGTATCATCGTTCCTCGTCACATGGATGACCGTTCCTGAAGCTGGCGACTGCGTGTCATAGATTCCGCCCACCTCACGCTCGTCCAGCTTGACCGACCGTGTCACCTTGACCTTCGACGCATCCATGTCGTACACACGATATCCTTTCACGTTCTCAGCGTACCCGAGGAACGTGCACTTGAAGCTCTTGGGTTCCAGCTTCGTTCTGATCACGTCGTTCACATGAGCGTACCCTTGTGACCCAAAAACACGTAGGTGTTCCATCCGTGGCTTCACCTGGAACGACAGCTCGTACGGCGTGACATCAGAGTTTGATGTGTTCGTGGAACGGTTGATGAGATACACTGCAGTACTAACCGCTTCCGCCCACCACTGCGTCGACATAGACTTGTAGTGCAGCATGCTTCTTGCCTTCTCCATGATGGTACGGTTCATGCGTTCCGACACTCCATTCTGCTGAGGGCTGTATGGAACGCTACGCTGATGCACGATACCGTTCCGTTTGCATAGTTCCAAAACTGTCTTGTTCACGAACTCCGTTCCATTATCGGAACGAAGACATTTTAGACGTTCCCCCCACTGGGTTTCGTACAATGCCTTGAACTCCTTCAGTTTGCTGCCCACCTCGCTCTTGCTCTTCATAAAGTACGCAACGACAAACCTTGAGTAGTCGTCTACGAACGTCAGAACATATTTGGCACCACCCTTTGAGATCGTTCTCATTGGGCCCATTACGTCCGTGTGTACTAGTTCCAACACACGCGTCGTTCTCGTTAGCGATCGTGACGGAAACGTCGTCACGGTCTGCTTTCCCTTCATACATCCACCGCACAAAGTCTCGTTCCCATTTTTCACATGTGGGATACCAATTGTGGAACGTTGAGTCTTCGTCAGCGCGTCCTTGTTGAGGTGACCCATGCGAGCGTGCCAAAGCTCCCACTCGCTGTCAGGACCGGCGTATTGCACGAAGTGTGCCTCCTCCTGCTGACAGTCCAGCAGGAACGCCTTACCGACCTTCTTCCCTGACGCTATCGCAGCGTTCCGTCCCCAAATTACACAGCTGGAACGCTGGAACTCCACGCTCATGCCTCGTTCCGCGAGCTTCCCGACCGACAATAACCGTCTATCGAGCCCCGGAATGTGGAGCACGTCCACCATTCGGATGCGTTTACCGTCCAAACCAGTCAACTTGACCGTTCCAGTTCCTGCGACGCGCAGCTTCTTGCCATCTGCAATCGTCACGTTGATGCCACTGTCTAGTGCCTCGTACCCAAATAGGTCGTTCCGGTGAGGGGTCATGTGCGACGTCGCACCACTATCAATCAGCCACCCGGCCGAGCGTTCCCCACCAACTGCAAACACTGCATCGTCTTGACTGCTCTTCTTTGCAGCAGGACAGTCCCGCTTCATGTGACTCACTTGGTCACAGTTGAAACACTTGCCCTTGAAACCAACGTTCCGTTTCGGACCGTTCCATTTTCGATCGTTCCATTTTTGACCGTTCCCTCGGCCGTTCCGGAACTTGCCTGCGTTCCCATTTACTTGGAACGCCTTCTCCATGGTTTCCTTCTTCTCGAGTCGCTCGTACTCCTTCAACAGCTTTTCCTTGGCCTCGATGAGCGTCACACCCTTTACGTTCTCCACGATAGACGAAATGAGCTCGTACTCATCGGGGAGGCTGCTCAGCAGCACCACCAGCTGGCGTGCCTCGTCCATGGGCTCTCCTAGCGTCTGCAACCCGACGATCAGCTCATCAAACGCATCCAGATGCTTGGCCATAGTCGATCCACTTTCCATCTTGAACTCGTGGAGGCGACGCGTCATCGTCACGCGGTTGTGGAGCGTGGTGCGGTTATAGAACTCTCGCAGCGTTCCCCAAGCTTCTATGGAACGAGTGGCCGACCGAATCTTGGTCTGATGCTGGAGTTCCACTCCCTGAGCGATGATGCCGAGCGCCTTGGCATCATTGACGAGCCACGCCTCGGTGATATCGTTCTCCGGCTTGACGGCTTGAATATGCGCAAGCAGGCCCTTCCTGGCTAGCGTCATGCGCATATTGTACTCCCAGTGGAAGTAGTTCCCACTCCCGAGGAGGACTTCGGCGCGCTTGGTCGTCGTCATATTTTGGAACGTTCCAGTAGAGTTGAGCGCTTGCGGCTGTTAACCTGTTGTTGTTGTTAACGGTAAATGCCGAAGTGAGTAGATTAAAGTCAATTAAATCTGTCCTCTAAACTTCAGTGCTCCTGGCCATCCACCAGATTAACCGGTTTGGGACCGGTCCAGTTTGGAACGTCACGCCGGTTAGCCGAACCGTGCAGAGTCGGTGCATATCAACAATTACTCAATGGAAGAGGTCATTTCCATTGAGTAATCATGCATCTACTAAATCACGGTGGCAACTTGCCAGGCAAGAGCCCACTATTAATACATACAGCAACTCACGTCATCACTGGATACATACTTGCTCGCAGTTATTGCTTACAGTGCAATAGGCGCCCTTATGCCACGAAAGGTGTATTTATTATAGGAGGTAAGGGCTGGGGCGGAAATCACTAGATTTAAAAAAATTGGGGATTTTCATCTAAAATCCAAGAAGAAAAATGTAATTTTAAGCGAAATTAGCGTTACCGTATTCCTTATGTGATTGGCGACTGTCAAATTCTTGAGGTGGTCCAGCCTTTCTGCCAGCATAAAAGATACCTGCATCGAAAAAACTATATAACATGCTCATTTTCCCCTTGGTCGCCAAACACATAAAGCGCGACAACACGAAATTTAAATCAATTTGATTCGCTGCTATTTGTCGCTAATGACCGAGCGTCGCCAATCACATAAGGAATACGGTATGTAAGGGCTTCGAATTCTCTCTATTAATACTGGATTGTCACAAGATAAGTTTCTTTGCACTGCTTGTTGCAGGCTAATCAAAACACGCGATTTCTCAGAGCGAATTTCAGAATTTATACTTACACCAGGGCCTAAACCCTGTTAGCGCACGCTGACTCAATAACTCAGCGAAGAATGAAGGTCATTCTCGCACATGTATCGCCAGCACTTGCTCCCTATTGTTAGCTCGCCGCTGCTGGAGCTCATTGATGTTCATTCCTCACCATTCAAGCTGCTGCGGAAGACCAAAGACTATTCAGATAACTCATACACACAATGACCGGGACGGTCAGTCCCGACCAAGACGCTGCCAAGTGGAGTCACGATTCCAATGGTTGGACTGGGCGTGCACCTGTCCGAACCCGGTGCCGAAAGCTACAACGCCGTATTGTCGGCTCTGAAGCTTGGCTACCGCCACATTGACACGGCGCAATACTACGAGATCGAAGCAGATGTCGGTCGTGCCATCCGCGACTGCGGCATCCCTCGTGAAGCGATCTTCGTGACGACTAAGCTTTTCATTGACAAATGGGGCTATGAAAAGGCCTTGGTAGCCACCAAGGAGAGTAACGAGAAGCTCGGTCTCGGCTACATCGACCTCTACCTGCTGTACGCCCCCGGGGTATTCTTCCACGCGTGATGAGTCCTGGCGTGATCTCGAAGGGCTTCACGCACATGGTATACTCAAGGACATCGGCGTCTCGAACTTCGACGAGGCGTACTTAGGAAAGCTCTTAAAGACTGCGAAGGTCAAACCCGCAGTGAACCAAGTTGAACCTCATCCATGGATGATGCGTCCATCGCTGGTGAAGTATTGCAAAATGCATGGCATCCTGCTTGAAGCGTATTCTCCATTGGCTAGAGCCTGCAAGATGGATGACCCTACTCTGGTCGCGATCGCGAACGACGTTGGCGCCACTGCTGCTCAAGTGTTGGTGGCTTTTAGCTTGACCAATGATTTCATCACCCTGCCCAAGTCCACGAACCCTGGACGACAGAAAAAACAACTTCGAGGGGGTGAACGTCAAACTGATGCCTTCGCAAGCTGACAAACTTGCTGCTCTGGACGAGTATCTCGTTACTGGCTGGGACCCGACCAAGGACCATGCTGTGTGAGGCGAACAACTGTGTCTCGGAGATCGTCTTCGATTACCTGATGCTTGACCCTCAGAAATTGCTTTTGATTTCGTCTTGTGGAGGCTGCGCGCTATCAGGTTTCGCAGTGGTACGAAACTCGCCATACCAGTAAAGCCTATTCACTTGCCACGTTGTCCACATATTTTTTAGCTTTAACTTTTATACTTTGTGTAATTCGGACGTGCTTTTCCGACGTTTTGCTCACGATGAGTCAGGTTATTTTACGGCAAGCTTTCAGCCAACTTGCATCCATTCATACGATATATGAGTATCAGCATCTTTGGAAACACCGTTTTTATCGACTATCCTGCTCTTCGTCGCGCTTCAACGCGGGAATACTAAGCGTTGCTCCGAAAACCGGACATTTATCAAGCGTTGAGGAACTCGGACTGTTTAAAACGGAAACGCAGCTTTCGCAGTATATCAAATTATACGATGAAACGATAGTACTCGTCAATTTAACAGGTGTCCAGCAATATTCTCTAATTCCGTGCGGACCCTATGAGAAGTGTTGAGAAAGGTATGTGCGGTATTGTTATTGAAGCATCCATTCTGCATTTAGTTTCTACCATGCGACCCATTGAGCGAGGCGGTGTTCTTGGCCAGGGATTTGTCGTCTCGCGACAGCCTTAATGGCTTCGCTGTATAGGCACGTGACGATACCAGCGCCACATCCGATCAGCCACGGCACATAGTCCACAGTTGCAGTTCCGAAGAACGACTGGATGCCAGGAACGTACACGACCAGCAGAACGATCAGAATCTCCATCGCTGCACCATACACAGTGAAAATGTTCTTGAAGATCCTGGCCTTAATGACCGAAGTGCGTCGGGTCTTGACCATCCAGATGTGGAAGAATTGACACGTAACCAGAGCGATGTACCAGGACGCACAGGCCTCTGCCAGTATACGCATCTGATCTTGAGCATCCAAACATTTTGTGTCCGTGACACATAGTGGGTCGGCGTCTTTGATCCAGTTCTCTTCTGCGCTCATGAACAAATCTGAGAACGACACATCGTTGCGCCAGAACACAGCAGCGTAAGCGAGCAAGCAGCCGCCTGCATTAATCATTCCAGCGACAATATACGAGTAGACCAGTAGAGATTTAGAGATGAGTCGGTCCTTTTTGACGTTACGTGGAGGGCGTTGCATGATGTCGTGTTCTCCTCCTTCGTGAGCGATAGAAACTGCAGGTCCAAGTTCGGTTCCAAGATCGATACTTAAAATCTGGAGCGCTGTCATACCTGTCGGCATTCCAAGTGCCAGATAAATAGCCAATGGCAAGATCTCTGGCCACAAGTGCGTTAGCGTGTACGCAATCGTCTTCTTGACGTTATCAAAGATGATACGTCCTTGTTCGATACCGCGCACGATCGAGGAGAAGTTGTCGTCCATGAGGATGATATCTGCAGCTTGGCGAGCGACGTCACTACCGTTCTTTCCCATTGCCACGCCAACATCCGCTTGCTTTAACGCTGGAGCATCATTGACACCGTCTCCAGTCACCCCAACACATTCGCCAATCTCTTGACTAGCTTTGACAATCTGCAGCTTGTGTTGGGGCGTAGTGCGAGCAAACACCACCGAATTCAAGCGTAGAATGGCCTTCAAGTCTTCGTTAGACAGCAAATTAACGAAGCCACCGTGAACGACTGCGCCATTGTACGTATCGAAATCGGTTGGTAGCTTTACCGATATCTTCGTAGTGGGAGGTTCCAGCAAGTCTAGAACACGCCCACTATCGTCCAGCAGTCCAATTTCGATCGCAATGGCTCGTCCTGTCAATGGGTGATCGCCTGTAACCATAAACACCTTGATACCAGCCGCCTTACACTTCGCAATTGCGTCAGGAACATCGTCCCGCGGAGGGTCCATAATTGCGGTAATTCCCACAAAACAGAGGTTCTCAGAGGGAAAATTTCCCTCTTCAGCGGTAAAGTGCGTATTGGACGCTTCAAACCGCCGGGTTGCCAGTGCAATGACACGTCGGCCTTTGCGTCCAAACGTCTCGTATGCAAGAGAGAACTCACTTACCAGCGCCTCGTTTAACGGAATTTCCTCCCCGGTTGCAGACATCATCGTGCTGCATCGCTTGATTATCACTTCAGGAGCACCTTTCATGAACACATCGAAGTTCCGTTGCGTTGTCTTTTCACCTGGTGCAGGTACAACGACAAGCTGCCACTTGTTGGTCGAGTTGAAAGGGATTTCGAAGATCAGTGGATACTCGTCACGTGTTATGTCCGCCGAGAAATTGAGATCCGCAAAACGAAGAAGCGCGATATCCGAGGGGTTACCAGTGTACTGCCGCGTTGTAGTTAAAGCTCGTTGCTTACGTACCATCGAAGGACTTCGGATCTTCGGACTGCGTATGGGCGACTCGCTCTTCTTCTCACTTCCCGAATCCACCGACTCATCAATTGTAATCTGAATATTCGAAGGATGGGTGACGTCTGGAGCAGCACGGTTACAGAGCGCTGCACCGCGAGTAAGAAGAGCTTTGGGTGTCATGCCGGTCAGAAAGTCCGTCGTAGTATCCGGTACGATCTCTGTGCATTGCTCGGATGGTTGAGCCATGAACTCGCGTCCTGCCCAGATATCTGTGACCGTCATGACGTTCTTCGTAAGCGTTCCCGTCTTGTCGGTAGCGATCAGTGAAATGGAACCCAGTGTCTCGACGCAGTCTAGACGCTTGACAAACACATTCTTCGCTGCCAACCGACCGGCTGTAATGGTTAAGAGAGAGGTGACCGTGACGTGAAGACCCTGAGGAACGTTCGCCACGAGGATGACGAGGAAACCATCGACGAATGTGATCAAAACATCTCCTCCGTCCTTGTGGACGACACCGAGAATGAACAGGATGCTGGCCATGACGAAAGCTAGAATCGCGATAAACCGAACAAAGGCCTTAACTTCACGCTGCATATTGGTTTCAGCAAGGGTTGCCGACGTTGAGAGCTTGGCAATTTGGCCGAGAACCGTCTTGTCTCCGACCGTCAGCACCAAACCCAAGGCGGCTCCGTCAAAGCACAGCGAGCCATTGAACGCAATGTTCTTGCACTCCAATTGAGCGACGGAATGATCTTGAGCATCCGACGTAAGACTAATCAGCTCTGATTCACCTGTTAGAGAGGAGTTCTCCACCTTCAAGTTGTTACACTGAAGAATCCTCAGATCTGCTGGAACTTTGTCACCGTTGCGAACCCACACGAGATCCCCCACCACCAGTTCTTCAGCCGGGATAGTTTGGCTGACACCGTCACGAACGACTGTACTCTGAGCTGGCAGCATGTTTTTGAATGAATCCATCGCCTTCCCAGTCGACCGTTCTTGAAGAAATGTCGCTGTGCACGTACCAAACACAACAGCGAACAGGAGGATAGCCAGGTAGAGATTCATCTCTGTCGACCTGTTGATGAAATACGCGATCAGACTGAGGATTGCAGCAGTCGATAAGAGCAACATGAACATGTTGAGGAACTGCTGCAAGAACAGAATGTAGTCCGGTATCGTCTTGGGAGGTGACAACCGGTTGTACCCGCATACTTTTCGAGCGTCTTCAATGTCAGTCGATTGAAGACCTTGACTTTGCTCGAGATTCGACGCTGAAATTCGACTTTTACGCTCGCGTGTAGACAGCTCGTCGACCTTTATGTACGCTTGCCAATAGTGTTCACTTTCATTTCGGATGTGCTCAAGTACGAACGAGCTCCGGGAGCTTCGGGATCCTCGCCGTATCGCTCCAAGCTTGACTTGAAGCGGGTCCGCAGACGACGGCTGTGGCAACATTATACCCCTTTCGGCAAGTACCCCTGTCTAGCGCAGTTGTTCGAATTCCGCTGTAGGCTGTGGTGGTTTAGAAGTGAGCGGAAATACCTCGAAACGAAACTCACCATCCTTCTCAACCCCTCCAAAAGTGGTCAAGAACTTACCATTGCGACTAAAATACCCACAGTGCGGCAGTTTTGAAGAGCGATTCTTTCCCAGCTGATAGTTAGTTACATGTACCTACCTCACTGGGGGATCTCACTCCAACTCATCGAGTTGCGATGTGCAAGTCCTCGTAATTATAGTACACGGAATGAGATTCATTTTAGGAGTAGCCCCGGAAATAGAGTTGATGAGTTACTTCGTGCCATACACCGTAGGAATGGCGACCAGTGCCACGGTGCTTTAAAGGATTATAATTGAGTGGTCTTGAAGAGATAGTGAAGGGTGCAAAGCAATATTATTATTATGTAGTGCTAATGCCGAACAGTCATCGGCGGTAAATGACTATTATAATGCACAAGTAGTACTTCGGTGTCCTGCAATCCTACTACCGTATTTTGACGACTACTACTAATCCCTAGCTATCATCCCAAATACTTTAATTAAGAAGTTTTCTCACCCCTGGGACGAACCGAACCTGAACCACGGTTCTACTGTTTTCTACGAACCCGAACTGGGCAGGGAGCCCGGTTCCTGCAAAAAGTCACAGAACCGAACCTGGGAGAGAACTCGGTTCGTTCCATGAATCATCGCCTCTCATTGGCTCACGTTATTGCATTTCATTAGCCAAAATTATTATTGCTACCTAGGATTTAGATCTGCGCTTCCAGCATTTTACAACTTCAACTCGATTTTCATCGCCGATGGTTGACCTCCATGACCTCCCGATCATCGAGCTGCCGAAACACTATCGTGTCGATGGTGAGCGCCTTGGGCGGGCTCTTGTCCATGTGTCTGCACAAGCGAACAGTATCGCAGAGCATCAGGCCGAGCTCCAGCATCGACAGTCTCGGCACGAAGAAGAGCAGCAGCGATTCGTCGAGCAGCGCGTTGCGGCAGCCCGAGAAGAGGCAAATGCGCGGTGTAACGCGCTCGTTCTCGCTATTCAGCAGACTTACGGCGACCCGATGGCTCTGGAGCATCGTGTTGACGCTCGTATTCAGGACGTCTTACAGCAGCTCCAACAGGGAGCTCAGCAACAGGCTCGAGTATTTGCAGAGGCCCAGATAGCAGATCAAGTTGCGCTGAGCCAGTTGGTGGAGCAGCGTATGCACGCTGCCGTGCTAGATATGGAGCAGGAGATGAACCTGAGGGTTGAGAAACTCCTTCTGGACCTGCGCCGCGATATCACTGAATACGTGAAAGACCAGCTCAAATTGGCCGTACAACGCGCTGACGATAACACACGAACGCTCATGAACAACGGGCTACAAGATGAGAGAAACATACAGCAAGCGTCCATCGCGCGCTCCGAGACTCGTATTGCTGAGCTGGTTCGAGGTATAATTCACCAACACGACAGTGCAATCAGAGTGCGCCAACAGCAGGAGAGCGACGTCCGCAACGACCACATTGAGGAACGGCTTCGTCAAGTGGTAGCTGTTGCCAAAACGGCAGCTGAATCGAAGGCTCGCGAGGTGATGGCACAGAGGTCGAATGCACCCGGTCCAGCATCTACAAGTACAGCGACTGCAATATCAAGACAAGTGCCGCCAGCCGACAAAGTTAGCAGATCGATAACGCCTGCCAAGCCAAAACCAAAGCCTCTGCGCCGCTCAGAACGCGAGGATCGATCCAAGGCGGATCAAAATCGACATGATGAACGCAAGGCTCGGGCTAAAGTTGATCAAATTCGTCACGAAGCTCAAGAAGCAGTACGAACTCGCGCTACCACCCGAGCAGCAGAATTGCTGGCACCAACACAAACAATTAAGAGCAAGCGTCTACTCCGTTCATAGTCAGATTCATGGGTATTAATGAACTTATACACAAACACATCAGCTCGTTCTTGATCTGGCTAGCCTTCAGTTGCTTCCTCATTGTCAGAGAGCCCCAGATCCATACTTGCAGCCGAGAACATGTTCTCCAAAGAGCCAAACTCGTCATCCAGGTCCTGGATCATGTTCACCAACACATTCGAGGGCAGCCTCGCCCCTGCAGCGTTAGTAGAAAGCTTCGGGCACTGTGTGATATCCACGTAGTCTCTGTTGCAGTTTAAAAATGTGGCCATATCCACGTTGTACGGCGACAGTGAGCTGCGTTGTGGGGTCACCATTCTTCCGGCTGTCCCGAAATCGCGCTCTATTTGAGCCGACGAGGAGGGCATTGAGAATAGGACGCGTGCAACAAGAGACAGAAGCCGGAAGTTGCCTTGATCATGTTGACGCTTCCAGAAGCTCAGGACGGGCTCAAACTCACCGGGACGCATTACGTTCAGCGAAGTAGGGGTCGAAAGCCAACGGTCAAGCTCTTCGTCAATGCGCTGCTCGTGCATTGCCGTATGTGTGTCGACAGGCGGTGGTACCACCTCGTTCGCCGTTTCTGCAAATAACTCCATGAGGTCCTCTGAAAACACTGCTACCGGAGGCGGAGCTACGATTCCGGGAGATGTTGGCTGAGTGTCCACTGCCTCCATAATTCTGCGGACACCGTCGATGATCTTACGGCGAACCTTGATGAAGTGGCGATCTGCCACCTGTTGTGATGCCCCGGCTTGTAACTTAGACACTAGAATCACCTTCTTTAGCGCTCCGTCTGGGTTCTTGAAGTTAGGGTGAAGAAGTAGCTGCATCTCGAAGGCGTAGGAGCATGAATTCATTATCTCGCGGTCAGTGTATCGCCGGAAAAAGACACGATGAAAAGCTTTATGGAGAAGTTCCCGAGTTGTTGTCGCCAGATTGGACAGCTCTTCCGGCCGAAAGAAGCGTCTTTCTGTCTTGGTCGATCGGCAGTCTTTTAAGGGAGTAGTGACGTCTAACAACGAGATTCGGAGCTTGTACAGACCGAGGAGAACGTCGCACTGGTTTCCTGATTCGGATTGCCCGATGTGGTTAATCACTGAAACCGGCTCAAGCAGAGAAAGAATTTGTATCAGTTCCATCTTCTCACGAGCCAAAGGGAAGGGAGACGGTGGTGCCACATTCTCTCGCTGGGCTTTGACAGTTCGTTCTTCATACCATGCGGCCAGTGGGTCCCAGAGTAGGAGTATACGTCGTACAACGCGAGCAAGCCCCAAAAACCGATGAATCTTGAAGTTGAGAAGTTGGCGCGCGTTCACATTATCGTCGGTCATAACAATGCAAAGCTCCGAGAAGAGAGTGCCCATCACTTCCACATGCTGTGTCTGGTACACAGTTTTGACGATGCGTCGAAGCATGTCCGTCATCGCTGGGTTCTTCGACGAGCCGCTCTCCGCAACGATGCCAAATGCGGTCTTGGTCGCCGCATGTGTAAAGTGCGGTACGCACCATTCCCAGCACAATTTGAGCCCTGACCTCATCATCCATTTGACGTCGGGTCCACCGTCGCTGGTAGACCCGAAGAGGTCGTGACGACTAAGTCCAAAGTCCTCTAACACATCCCCAATCCAGCGATAGAATGGACCTCGGATTCCGCCATCACGTTCGCCATACTGCGGGGCAAAATGTCGGGTCCCTAGTAACACGGATTTGAACCGGTACGACGAGTCCACTAGATAAAGTCTCAATCCCAAAAACTTGGTATTCATCGCGGACGCCGTCCAGAAGTCTGCAACGATGGAGAAGCTTTTTGCTGAGCCGATTCTGTTTTCTGTCAGCATCGCTTGGATTTGATGTTTTGTCGCATCGTAGAGCTCCACGATAGAATGGCGGATGACCTTGGCGTTTAATGCTACACGAGCCTCCTCCTTGAACATTAAGTCGCGGATTATCAGCGACTCTTCGTACTCTCCAATTCTGAACGGAAGGTTGTTGTTCACGATGCGCAGTGTCTCCAACAAGACGTACGCGCGGCCAGGATCATCGCGAAAAAGTGGACGCCTCTTCAAAACAGCAAGATCTTCGTCGCGAGCTCTTTTCCTGCCCTCCTCGCTGGCGGTCTTGTCGGAGCCAACGTCGTGTGCCTTGCTTAGATGAAGCGTCACTTTTGACGTCTTCCCGCCTGACATCACGATCTTTACACGCTGGGTGCGGCAAGTCTCGGCCGCCATGCACATCCACACAGCAGGTGCGTTGGTGTCGGCCGTGCTGACGACGCGGACACCCCAGTCGTAGACGAATGACGTCTCACTCGTCTTGGCGCGTAAGATCTTCGTTCCAGCTTCGGGGACAAAGGCCTGGATGGCCTCCCGTACAGCGATCGGCATACTGGCTTCGTCGCGACGCCTTCTTCGCTCTGTGTCCATGAGTATCTGCTGAAGATCGCGGTGTGATAGCAGGAAGTAAATAGCTTTTTAAAGCTCCAGTCAGCGCAAAAAAATGCCAAAACGCACCGTAATTTAGCCAATGAAGTACGCCAAACTGGAGAACCCTCACCCTCTCCCATATCAATGGGTTCAGGCTCCCTTTACTTACGGGAGGAACTTTCGAACGGTTCATTTCCGACGTTAAATACGGGGAAGAATGAAATTTTTCAGATTACCGGCTCCGAACCGAAGTTGGAACGGTTACTGAATCTTTTTCGACTCGCACCCATTTGGTTCGTCCCAGGGGTGAGTTTTCTTGTCTTTTCCATTGAGTAATCATGAATTTACTACATCACTGAGGCAAGAGCCCACTACAGTACATACAGCAACTCACGGCACACTGGATACATGCTTGCTCGGAGTTATTTTTTAACAGCGCATCTATGCCACGAAAGGATGTATTTATTATAGGAGGTAAGGGTGGGGGCAGATTTGATGAAATTTGGGGATTTGTATCCTTGCCTTCGCGTGTGTATTGGAGCGGCGGGGAACGGCAGGTTTTACGCTCATGGTCAAAGCTTGTGTGTTTGCACAGAAGTATTCAGTAGCTAGTGCATGAGCTAAAATCCTTGGGCGTGTAACTATTAGAACGGCTGACGACGGCGGTGGAGGACTCTCCGCAACCGGTCGACGCGATGGAGGTGAGACGGCCAAGCACTTGACGGCCTATTGTAGGTGCTTTATGGTCGGATTTGGCTCTCTGATGGCGCCGATGACGAGGATGCTGCGCATGGATGCACCATGGAAATGGACGGCGGTACAGGAATCAGCGTTTGGAAACGTGAAGACGGGATATAAATATAAGTATGCGCGTTGCCTACATCACGGTCATTAATGGCAGAAGTGTAACATAGCATATTGCTTTCTGAATCATTTTAGGTCACTAGACTGGCACACAGCAGCCCATATAGCGTCCGTTGGGTACCAATAATCGTTCGGTCAGTTTTCGCGCGTATGTATCGGCGAATACGTGCAAGTAGGCATACTTGGTGTTCAAAGGTGCACGGCGGCTCAGTACGATCGTGCTACTGATCGTATACTTGGGATATGGCAACATGAGCTATATAAGTTGACATTCCCGTAAGATGCTGTGCAATTGATGGTACTCTAGTGGTATTTTTCAATAATTAACATTTTTATATGATAATCCGATACTTTTCACTAAGTAGCACGAAGTTTGCGCTACCGGTAAGTGAAGAGCTACAATGGATACAGTCATTTTAGCTACCCTTTCGTGACATATGGGCGTCTGATCTGGAGTGCTCTGTCTGTCTATAAAACATACGAAAACTGTATCATCAGGGGTTGGAAGTATTTTCAATAATAGTATTTTTTTGGAAATACTACTACTTTGAGAAGTTCAGTAAAACTCATATGAATACCGTGTTGTATTCACTTGAGTAGTAGTACTACTTGGCACTATAGTACTTTTAAAGATCTACTTTTCAAAGTACCTTGAATGAGCAATGACTACCCTTTATTGGTAATTTTCGAGCGAGTGGCTCTCATTCACCATTGGGGGGAGTGAGGTACGGTCGCCGTTTTCATCATTTGTCAAAATAACAAACCGGTTCACTATAGTCAGCCGAGCCAGTGACTAGCGAGCTAAGTATGGGGTGCTCAGTAAAGGGCTGCCAGGAAGACGATCAACTGAAGACTGACCCGTGCAGCGTTTGCGAAAAACCCGTACAGCATCTGTGCGCTATCGATGTCTTTCAAGGCACTGAATTTGCGAAGAACCCGTACAGCATCTGTGCGCTATCGATGTCTTTGAAGGCACTGATTCAGCGCTAAGCGAGAGGTAATATGATTACTGTGCTAGATATTTAGCGAGCTTGTACGTACTTGTTTTACTATTCGGGTTTTGTAGCCAAATGTGTGTTCAAGCCGTGCATCCAACCGCTGCGAAACATGCGCCTTCAATGGGCCGGTCCAAGAACATTTAGACGGGATCCGACTCCGACTTCGTGCTCTCACCAGTACAGCTTGTGAACGAGACTGCAGAACCTCCTGTAAAGCGACGCAAAACTACTGCCTGTGAAGCGAAGATGAAAAACGTCTCGGTGGAGTCCAATACTGAAAATAAGAGAGCAGCTCCAACAACCGTGCTCGAGCCGATGGCCAGCCTTGGCGTCTCGCCGGATACAGAGGCCTCACCGTCGACTTCGGAGCTACCGTCTTACCCCGCATATAAGGCATATGGGTTCTAAATAAAATACAGGATTCGATCGACATCTACCTTAAACCTCAATTTTACTACTATAACATATGTGGCTGAAACCTACTTAAAACAGAAGGCTGTACGAGCCAATGAATATTCTTGAGAGCTCCAACCAACCACCCTTCTCAACAAACTTGTCGGTGCTGCTGTTACTTGGCTTTAATTCTCTTACCGGTATTTTATTCTTTACACAGCCATGGGTGCTGAGCGACGTAGCTATAGTATCCAGGAGAAAATCGCTGTTCTAGCAGACTTTTGGAAAGGCACAAAACCTCCGTATACTACGCAGCCACAACAGAAAGAAAAGACCCGCAACCAATCATAACATCATGTGACCTGCACGCAGGCAGGTTTGAACCCACGCCGATCGCGTAGGTCCTCCTACGGTAGGAGGGTCCAGCCTAAACGACCAAGACAGATTCCAGGACCCACAAACTTGCTTCTTCAAAGTCAAACAATTTGTTCGTTGTACAACACATAGGCTTTCTAAACGAATATAACACACAAGCAGTGTTGTGTGTTCATTTACAGACCATATACCTTATATGCGGGGTAAGACGGTAGGAGGTGTTCCCCTCACGGTAAAGCATGCAAGAAAGTCAGGCACCACAGATGATGTTTGGGACCTCATTCACACACTGGAGATTCCTTACAAGAAGCAGAACCCATGGAAACCGTCTGTGGGGGTGTATCAGAACATATGTCTGCTGCGATGCCAACTGATCAAAGCCCGAGCAAGAATTAATCGATTTAGTTGGGAGGAGGCCCTGCGCAATACGAGAAACGCGAGTAACGCAAAGGTCTACATCAAGTCCAAGAACGCTGAACATCCTCTAGCCATCTTAGCGGAGCAGAGTGCAACTGACAAGTCAAAGGCGGACGTCGTGGATGCGGAGGCTGTGTTGGATCTGACCTGGGAACCTGAGAACGCTGCCATCTCTCCAGCGACAACAACGACTACTTGCATAGCTACTTCCGCTGCATCAGCAGGTGTAGTATCGGTAGAAACGGCTTCACCCGGTTATTTGGAGCGAGTGAGAAGACCATCAACGTCCTTATCTCAAAGTTTATCATCTCGCAAGGGCTACCCTACATGGTTTGCGCGTCTTCGACTTTTGAGGGCATTATTTCTACTGCAACTGACAACACCTCATTTCGCGTACTGGGTCGTGACCGACATGACCGGCTGCTCAACAGACAGTTTCTTTTTGTTCTGCGAGCTTGTGGGCGCACTACTATCTTCGGACTTTGAAATTGCCCGGTCAGCTGAAGTTTTTTAATTTGCTGCATGATGTTTGGACTAGCTGCGTGAAAGAGAGTATCGTTGGCGCGTCAAACGCGCTTATCGATAGTTCTTGGCGATTTCGGTTCCTTGCACTGCTCGCCTGTGTTAAGAATGACGGTCATACCGCTTTCAGCGTTGCAAAAGTCATTGAGAGTGGTATCAATACTCGGTATGATCTCGACATTCGTGTCATGACTCGATTCACTATGTCAGATACAACCTCGTCAGCGAAAAAGGTTGCTGATCATATTAACACAGAACAAGAGAGCTGGTCGATGCATCTTCTCAACCTGTGTATTGGCTACGGGATCGGACTGAAGGATAATATCCAGACTGTGCTTGTTTGGAATAGTTCAACTACAAAGTATTAACTACTGTCACAGCTGGAGTGGCGCTGGACGAAGGAGGTGGTGTTATCAAAATGTTGCGAAACCTGAATAATCACTTCAGGTCTCCAAAGCAGGGTCACGCGCTAAAGAAAATTCAAAAGGCGCTTTCGTGTCCTGAGCTAGATCTAATGACAGACCAAGACGTTCGTGTTGCTTACACTTGCAAATTGATTCGAAGATCAGTAGTCGACTACTCAGCTTTTGAGGCATACTTTCAGCTCACCAAAGACGTCACAAGCGTGCGGACGTCGCTAACGGCCAAAGATTGGACGCTGGCTGTAAAAATGGAGGCAGTTACCAAATTTATTGCTGAACTTGCGCTTGTAGAAGTGCAAAGTGAGAATCTAGTATCGTCGTATATGGTAGTATTCCGACGACTCGCAGAGAAGAAGCTGAAGTCCTTCAAGGTTGATGCAATGGTAATTGAGCCCCCCGGAGCTAATGATGCGAACGAAGAGAGTCATCGCAGCGATGTGGAGAAGCTTGACCAATTTGCAGCCGCCAGCAAATCGTGCCTTAAAAGAACAATGCTGCAGCTGCGGGCCCGCTTCCCCACAGAGACCAAGGAGGCTATGGCTTGTATTTTGCTAGACCCTCGGCTAAATCTAGCGTGAAGAAGATTGCAGCCGTCGGACACATCCCTCGCAAGGAAGAAAAGGCTTTCTACAAGAATGAAATGGCCTTCCTGCGAGAAGAGCACGGCACTGTGATTGCGCAGATGATAAAAAGGAAAGATACCCTTGTCCCAACAGTCGTCTCAAAGTAGCCTACTCAGTCAAACGTCGAACTCCCCGTTTTCTTCTCCTTCGTCTACTGGCTGGGATGACAAAGATGAACTCCTACTGGGTGCCCCGATTCGGACAAGAAAGACCAGAGACGAAGTTAAAGAGACCGAAATCAATGCAAGAGCTGACACTGTCTTGAAGGAGTGACTAGAGCTGGAACCTGAGTGGCTAAATATCGCCCAACGTCAGAACTATGATATCTCGAAAGAGGAGCTGTCGAATGCGATGTCAATTGACGCTCGCGACGGCATGTACTGGGCACAGCTGGGCTTGTACAAGCATATCGACGTACTGAAGTGGTTCCGCGATGAAGGTGAAGCACAGTTCCCTTCTATAGCTCTGCTTGCGCGGATTCACCTCGGCAAAATATCGTCCTCAGCGTTCCAGGAGCGGGTGTTTTCGACGGGAGGTATTGTCATGGGACCCCTGAGGACGCGGACAGACAGCAGACGAGCCGAAAGGCAGTTGTTGTTGCGGCACACAAGGGAATTGAGCTGGTGAGGCTGACGGAGGACGCACGCAGCACTAGAGATTTGTAAGTGGTAGTTTGAGTAGTATACTAGTCTTACTACTACTACTATCGCATTGTAAAATCGATACTTGTTTCACTATGTCTCTGTCTGAGAACCCTTTCATTATACACTTTCTAAAGTATACCATGCACCCAAGATATTTATCTCCCAAAGGACGCCACAGCAAAAGCTTTGTTTGGTACCATCTCTTGTAACAAACTATTGAAGGTGCATAGATTATACCTCTTCCATTGAGTAATACCGTACAGTAGCTGCATTACACGCTCATAAACGGGTGCTCAAGGCTTGTTGTAACTGGCCATACGAGCTGTACATGGACTGCTGTAATGGTAAATACATTCAAAGACATTTATTAGTGGTTCTCACGGTTAGAAGGTACGAAGGTTTCGTAAGCCAATCAAATCAAACCTTCATTGTTCAACTGTGAGCAGCGTGTGCAGGGGCTACTGACAGTCGCAGCCAGTGACTTCATTGGTAAGTGAGCGCTGAAGGTGAGAATGGGGCGATCTCTACGAGCAGCGCTGCTGCTGCACCTACAGCACTCGGCTCTAAGCTATCAGCTTTGTGACCAGGGAAGCGAGAGCGACGAAAACGATGACGATATGTTCTACTGCGCGATAGTCTCCCACCGCTACCTGGGTCGTCCAGACGTCGTCAAAACTGGGAAATGGAGCCCTGAACGGATTTTTCTGCTTGATGCCGTTCGTGCTCGCCGCGACCTACGCATGAGCAAACAGACCTTCGTGTTTTTGCTGGGACGCATCGAGGCCCACACTGCCTTCGCTCGAGTACCCGGCAAGCAGCAACAAGCTCCTGTCCAACTTCAGCTGGAGGTTTTTCTCTTCGCGCTGCAGGACTTGACGATCCATCGCATTGCGCAGCATTTTGGCATTGGGGAAGGTAAGCTCACAGCTACAGACGTCTTAGTGGCATTGCTAGCTATTCTATTACGGTGGTGTGTCCAAAAGGTTCTGTTTATAAATTCAGGGACCGAGTGACTAGTGCAATTCTTTCCATTGAGCCGGAGTTTCTTCGCTGGCCGAGCAAGAAGGAACGGGTTTTAATAGCACAAACGTTTGAGACGCGTTCAGGGTTCCCATCCTGCGTTGGGTGTGTAGACGGCACAACGTTTAAGCTGAGTAGCGCTCCCTCTGTTGACCCCGAGTGCTACTATTCCCGAAAGTCAGTCTACTGCATTGGTGCTCAAATTGTATGCGATCACCGCCGCCGTATTACATACTATCAGGTAAGGTGCAAGACTCATTGCATTTGGTACTACGCTAATGCTAATTCTACTTGATACAGGTCGGCCAGCCAGGGTCTTTGCATGATAAACGGGCAATGAGTTTGACGGTTATGGCTGAGCAGCCAGCTGCATATTTTGACGCTGGTCAATATCTTCTCGGCGACACAGCGTATTCGTGCTGCTTCCCATTCATTTTGACCCCATATAAAATGCCAGCTAGCACACTACCGCGAAACAAGACGTTCAATTGGCTTTTGGCGCAACAGCGCATTATAATTGAGCACACCATCGGGATATTGAAGGCTCGGTTTCCTGTTCTCGATGGAATCCGAGACAGAATTGTCGATGAAGACGATATCATGAAGGTCTGCAGCAAAATCGTTTCCTGCTTTATACTTCATAACTTGTGCATCGATAGTTCGGACAGCTTCGAGGTACCGAGGGATCAATACAATACTCAGCAAGAGGATAACGCATCAGCAGTGGATTGGTACAATGAGGACAGTGAAGATCTGCGTACATGCATACAAGAAATTGTCCTGCGTTCGAGAGGTTTTCACCTAGGCTAACTGAAGAGCAATAGAAAACAAAACTAAAACAAAAACGTTTTTATTCATCTTGCTTAGAAGTAGTACGCAACTTCAGCAACTCAATCTCCATCTTCTTGGCTTGCAAGTCCAACTTCTGCGTCATAACTGAAAACATGCGTTCCATCTTCTGTTCCTTAAGTTTCAACTTAAGTTTGTATGCCTCGAGCTGGTGCCTTTTCAGTTCCAGCTCTTCTCTGCGCATCAACATTTTCTCGTTGTGGCGTTCTGCTCGGGTCGTGTCACGCTCGTCACGAATCTGGGCAAGGAGCTTAGCGATAGACGATCCCGGCGAATCGTTATAGACACGCTTGCTGCTTATCTTAGCCGTTGGCGACCGTATGGTAAGCGAGCTGTCGGCAGGAAAGTATTCCGACACATTCATACTCTCTCCTGATGCTAGTGTCGGCGTACTGCTATCAGCTGCTGCTGGTGTGCTGATGACTGCTGCTGCTGCTGGCGTCGGCGGGCTGCTGACAATGCTGGCAATGGCCACTGCTGGGGACGGGGAGGTGCTGACGGTGGAGGTGCTGACCATTGCTGGTGTCTGCGTCGTGACGGTAGTGTTGGACCTAGTGTAAACCTGTCCATTCAGCACAGCAGCATTCGGCTCTAGCACAAACGGAGGGACCATGTTGTGTCTCGAACCAAAGATTTCGTCCATCTCGTAGAAGTACTTGCATTTCTTGAGTAGCATGTCTGTCGATGTAGCAACATTAATCGTCCAATAAAACAAAAAAAGCATAACAAGCAAACACACCTTTGATAGACGTAGGATCAGTAGTTTTCAAACCAAAGCCAGAGCGACTGAGTTTAGTCTTGTAACTTTTGTAGGTGCTTTCGAGGTCCGTGCATTTGGTCTTAGCTTGCGTTGCTGACTTCTGCGGGAGCACTGTAAGAGCAGCTTCGTAGAACTTCGACTTGACTCCTTTCGTGTACTCATCTAAATGTGTAGACAGGTAATCGAGAAGAGCATATTCTTCCTCAGCACTCCACCTTTTGTTAACCATTTTGGCAGAATGAAATACTAAAGTTGGCGGTCGCGATGTTGTTGTGCCACAACCAATCAAATAAAACCTTCTCCTAGTCGTTTGCACCAATAACATTATACCTTTACTTCTTGGCCAAACCTACCGAGTTTTCCGAGTAGGTTTTAGTTGAAAAAAACAGGACAGGAAGGTTTGATGTGATTGGCTGTTCAAACCTACCTGCCAACCGTGAGAACCACTATTAATGACATTTACGTCCAAAAGTGTCTTTTGCAATCCATGCCTTTATTATATTTTTGTATGCTTATATTGCTGACATACCGTATATGGATTTGAGAAAGCTTGATTTCCTTTACATGAATATACATAGTATGCTACACCAGAATATACGAATGTAGGAATGCTCTACGAGGTGGTGTCGTATTGACTTCTTATCGTCTTGTATGTGAGTATCGCTTCGTCATGATACCGTGACGGACAGCTTTGCCAGCGTAATACATTGGTGGAGCGATTTTCCGTTATAAAAACACGGTAATGATCAAGTTTATTCAAAGCGTGTGTGTTGACTAGCAGTAAACCTAACCTAAACTACCGCACTGTATAGTCGTCCAAGCTGTAGGAAAGTAATCACAAATATCGAAGCACAGCTACTAGTATAGACAAGCACAGTAAAGTTACCGGCAGTGGGTAGAACGCTTGATAGTAAGTGAGAAAATGTTTCAGAGAGCGATTTTTTCCTTGTTAGACTTTCCGGCCCACTGTGCAAGTAGTATCTCACAATTGATTTTGCCACTCCATCGCTAACTTTCAACGATCCAAGCCCGCAGGTCAAAACTTCGTCCATGTTAAGCGAAACCTTATTTCCGCCAAACCTTCAGTCCCTGAGTCTTGACGTTATTGGCTACGTGGTAGAGCGACGTCGTGTTCAGAAGGACTGTTCGGGCTCTTTCATCTTCACCCAGAATCATTCATCACGAAGCCGATTGAACCAACCAGTTCACGATACTGAAATGGACCCACACTGTATGAAAAAGCTGACTACGCAAACCAAAAACAACATTGCCCACTTGTCTGGACGGTCCGATCGAAAACGACACGCTTCAAGAAAGCTCATGAAGCAGCGAAAGCTTCAAGCTCAATATCGCATTAGACAGAAGACGCGGGTGAAAAAGATCGAAGACACTGTTTAACGTCTACGCGATGAGATTCCATGTCTGAGGTCTCTACGCAACATGTTTTTCATCGGGATTTCTCTGACATTACAATGCAAGTAGTTGTGGCAGAGTACTTTCGTGTTTTTCGTCAAGGTTTCTTGGAGCCTGATGGATCACGAGTATCCAAGTTAGACTTTCTACGGCTATTCATGGCTCCGGATCTGGCCACTGGAACCGTATTTGGTTTTGAGGCGCTCGCTAGGAACTGGGGGATCGTGGGTCTGCTCTTTGATGATGTTCGCTTCAAGCTTGATCATGTTGAGCGAGCCACTGAGATTTCGATAGTGGCTAAAACAACCACAAGTTTTACGATCAGCAGACAGAGTATTGTTGATGTCTGCCGTGACGAAGATTTTAGTGATAGTCCAGCCCAACGAACCAGATGGACTCGTATTGCCGCTGTACTACTGGAGGAACGACTTACAATGCGTGGCACCGTTCAGTTTACCTGGGACAACTCAGCGAAGCGTATGATTGGGCTGGTTTCTCAACTAGACATGATTTCTTCGCTGCTAAAGCTTCTAGGCAACGTAGAGGACATATCGATCATATTCAGCAGCGCCTGTTTGTCGTTAGAAGGCAACATTTTGAAAGACTACGCCGCGCGATATCCATTGTTCTGTTAAGATTAAACTCAAATCTGGTGATACCAGAACACAGCTCGTTCAAAATCCTGATTTTTAATCTACATTTTTTTAAACGCTACTACACTCCTGGACGCAATTATACAGTCGTGCACCTCCAATTCGACACCGGTATCAGTCGATACCCTGCCAGATTTATGATTACGCAAATCGGATGCGCAATTACCTTTGCCCATCACCACCCTAGCAATTAACCTCAACGTTTTCCCTCTCCTCGCCGAGGGATGACACGCCGCATCGATCTGATTTAAATTTTGGATCGGACATCTTCTTACAAACACACAGTTTAATTTTTACCGCCAAAGACAATGGGACATCGCCCTTTCTCCTACATGTCCCACAAAAGGTGCGAGAAGCACAAGTCAGATCCTGCATGCTCTCCCTCCGAACTTGTTCGTTGGGCAACGGAGCGCTTTAAGACCCCCCAAGCAGTAAAGCGCACTACCGTCCAGAGTATTCTTAAGCGGTCCGCGGAAGTTGCCGCCTTGCCGGACGCCTATCGCCAAGATTATGCAGAAGATTGGCGTAAATTTTGTACTGAATTAACAAATAAAATACCAGTGCATTGGATTTGCGTATGTTTTTGCTTTACGTTGTGCACTTATGCCCTGGCACTGTTGATATGGTCCGCCCTGCCGAATTGGAGGTGCACGACTGTACGGCCATGCCATAACTCAGTCAATATTTATTATTTGACGGTGCGGATTTCACACAAATTGCAAAACATGCTTCAAAATAGCAAGGATGTGCTATTAATAACGCTCGCATTTTTGTACTTTTTAGGGAGGCTCACATAGAAAAAAGAGATTTGTCAAGGTGGTCACAATTTACGCCACCATTGGCCCAATACAAAACCTTTATAAAAAACATGTGTCATTTTGTTTGACTAGGAATTTGTATGGGCTAAGTTTCTGTAGCAATTACATCGCTCTCGTGCCATGACTAACTATAGATGTAGCCAATGCATGCGTCAACACCAATCACCTTACCACACACGTCGCGCTCGTCGGAAAGCCATACCCCCTTTAAGTCGAGCATTAAACCACTGATACTCTTCGCATTGTCCACTGGTGCTTGGCTTTTCCACTCGATCCTCATAAGTGCATCCATTCTATATCAGCTACAGTGTCTCTGGTTCAGCATGTCGATATTGATGTTGTATTGTGTGCTGTCTATCTCCACCCTGGCCGTAGGGAGACCGTCGTCAGCGCCAACATACTCAACATCACTCGCGTTATGTTGGTTACTGTCTTGGTGCTGTACCAGTCTCACGCGTACGGATCAACGCCAGACGGTGTGTACTCTTCCTCACCTTGTAATGTTTGTCATACATTGAGCTGCTCCATACCTCTATCCTTCTCCTGCGCCAGGTGACGCCGTGTCTGTCGACCTTCTTCAACACACTCGTGGCGGGGTCACACAGCACCTTGCGCTTGAGTAAGTCGGCTTCCAAGAGCGTACTCTCGGTGAATAGTAACTCACAGGTCTTCCACTTCTTTGACCTTGCCGCATGCTTGTGACTAATGGAGATCTGCACATCCTCGACAATTCTGCTTCGTCACATCCTCGACGTTTTGCTCCGTCACATTCGTCACTACTGAGTCCTTGAGTCAGGCAGATGGTTGTCACTTCCGCTTCGGTCGCGAGGTAG